TAATCATATCAGTCATCAAAACTGTTCTAGAAAAAGTGAAAAAGAGTGAAAGAATTCTGCTCAAACTGTTAGAGGCTGTCTTGAACTTGAAGTGAAGTGTTGTCTTTTTCTGTGTTCAAGGCCTCACTATGACTTTCGAGATAAAAAAATAAAATAAAATATAAAGCCATATGGCAAAATTATGGGTACTTTGCTAATTTGCATAGTGGTCATGTTGCCTTATCATGTCGACAGCCATTACAAAAGGATAATACATGCCCCTAAAATAAAAATGCAAATATTGCAAGTCCTAAGTCTAATCAACAATTTGTCTGCATATAGGTGAATTGTACATGTTTTTAGCCTTCTTTTCTGGTAGAAATGAACATTGTCTACTTTGAAAACTTTCGGCCTTTTCAGTTTAAAAATAGGAAGTGTAACTGTAGTATAATTGCTATATAAAACAAGCATTCTGAGAGTTTTGCATGGAAATACATAGTCCCCTACCAGTTAAAAATTCATTGTATTGGAACAAAATTCTAACTTGATCTATAACTTGTCATGGTGTAAACTATATAACAAAAATATCAAGTCAGTATCTTCAAGCATGACCAAAATAGTGTGGAAAACTTATTATTTAAGTGAATTTTCGAAGTCCAAGGACCATAACTCTGCACAAAATCATCAGACCGGAACAAAATTCGAACTTGATTTGTAACTTGTCATGATAAAACAATAAACCAAATATCAAATCAATATCTTCAAGCACAAAGAAAAAAAGTGTGGAAAACTGATTTGCCGGACTGACGGATGGACAGACAGACAGACAGACAGACAGACAGACAGACAGACAGACAGACAGAGTGCAAACCTTAAGTCCCCTTTGACTTCATCGGTAGGGTACTAATAAGGAAAAATCGTAAAATAGCAAGATTCAAAATAGAAATAAGGTTAGGGAGCTACCATTTGATTTTTATGGGGGGGCTAGGATGAAATTTGAAAAAAAAAGGCAGGACAGGAGTTTTGAGTAAAAAAAAAAGGCAGGATGAGCAACTTGGCAAAAAAAAAAGGCAGGACCGAATAGAGTGAAAAATAACAAGGCAGGACAGAGATTACAACTAAAAAAAAATGCAGGACAAAATTTTTCATCCTAGCCCCCCCCATAAAAATCAAATGGTAGCTTCCTTACAAGAAGTAAATGCTTATGATTTGTCTGTATATAGGAAACACCTTGCAGATTGAATTTTCAGGTTGAATAATTTTTATCTTACCTGCTCTCATAAGTTTTCGGCCAAATTGTTTTAAAAATATGATGATTTCATCCTTCAAATTTCTTAAGGAGTCAAATTTTAAGCTTTTTTCCTCAGAACTACACAACATATTTGTAAATATCCACCAAAGGAAATTTTCATGGTCACGTTAGTTTTAGATCCAAGACAGAAAAAGACTAGATTATTTGCAAATTTGATATAGTTTAGATTTTCAATTTGCCATATGCACTGTTCCTTTGCTTTGGGTTTTGTCAAATGCGTGTAGGGGTTTTATGCCAGGAACTATGCATAATATCTTTTTTTTCCATTACATAAACTAACCTGAATAACTCAGTCCCTCCCTGTGATTGACTCCCACTTGCAAGGGCCTGAACACTTTAACCGATTAAAATTTCAGGAATCCAGGATTTCAATAGTCACTCTCTGGATGAGGGAGCCAATTAGATTGTAGCTTAATATTATCAAGATAGATAAATCACGAGCTGATTCCAAATGACAACTTGACAAATTTTTTATTGACTAGTCCTTCAGGTGTTAATGTAGCCATTTAGAGCAGCGGATTATAGCGCCTGAATCATTCAGGTTATACATAAACATTATAAAGGATTCTACCTACAGATGTATTAGTACAAGGTGAAAAAGTAATAAAGAAATATTCTAAAATGCAAAATTAAACCATACTTAATGAACTATGAAATGAAGCAATCTGGAGTTATCAAACCCCCTTAGAAGCATCTATATATATCACCATTGCTCTATATTAACCCAAGCAAGCAGATAAATTGCTGGATGAAATGTTATTTTCCTTTGATTTTACCTGTCTTGAAAAGTATTACTATCAAATGTTTGCTACATTTGTACATGTAGCTATCAAAAACATGTTTTGCTTAAAATCTGATCAACTATAGTGATCTATAATTGCTTATATCCTCTCTATTTGAACTCTGGTGAATAGTTGGCTCATTGGCAATCATACCACATATATGCATCTTCTTATTTTTATATAGAACCGAATAATCCCATAGTAAAAACTCATCAAAGTTACCAGGCTTATAATATGATACGCTAGACACAGATTTTGTGTACTAAGACTCATCACTGGTGCTCCAATCGAAACAGCTGGAATTTAATATAAAAATCAAAACAAACTAGTCAATGGTGAAATTAGACTTTTCTCAGCACAGATCACATATATCAAACAATTACCATTAAGTATCAATCATGTTAGTGATCTTCACAAAAATCCTATGATTGAAATTAATCTTATTACATGTACAACAATATACAAAAATGTAATAAGTGAATATCAAATGTGACCTCTAAATGCCTTCTTGCTTTTTTTTTGTGTAGTTTGGTTGCTGTCTCAGTGACATATGCATACATACATTGTTGTACCCTAAATCTCCTGTTATTCATTTGAAGACTTTTCTGAAGATGAATGTCCACAATTTTTCCTTTGCCTTGCCCGAGTTGAAATGTACATTTATAGGGCAACATGGACTTAGGCAAGACCCATCAAAATCCAGTACTCAATGAGGAAAATGACTTTCATTTCTTGTAACAGAATCAATTTTTCTTCTTTTCAATTCTTACATGCTTCAGGTGTACATAGAATGGTGCTGTTGTCATAATATACACTTGAGGTGGGATTGTGTATAAGAGTAAAGAAGGGCAACTAAATCAGAAAATCAATCTGATCACTGAATCCCATAAGGGATATTACTCTCATGGTAGGTCATAAAATGAACATTTTATAAAGCTTAGATTATGCACCTTTTCTCTGTGACAGTTAACATTACATTGCATGTGTCCATCTTTACTTTTCAATACTATCAATTAATCTATTATTGTTAACTTGTTCTCATCCTAAACATGTATTAAATATCTATGAAATCAGGGGTGTGGAAATGCTATGCCCAACTCGCCCCAATCGTACATTTGACTGATCAGACAAGTATGTTTTGTGTCTTTGTTGCCCATGGACAAGTAAAAAAAATTGTTACTTGACAATGTTAATTTATATAATCATAAAGAAAAGTTGTCATAATTTATTCATCAAAGTAAAAAAAATATCAAATAACAAAGATTTGATTTTGATTTTTTGTGTTTTAACGCCACTTTTAAGCACCGCTTTTGGGCTATTTCGTGGCGGCCAGTTTTTATTGGTGGAGGAAGCCGGAGTGCCCCGAGAAAACCACGGACCTTCGATAGGAAAACTGGCAATCCTAGTCAAATAAGATTGGAGTCGAGTGCACCCGCACGAGCAGGGTTCGAACTCACAACCTCAGTGTTGACTGGCTAGTGATTACAGTAGTAACTACTTAGACCACTCGGCCAACGAGGCCCCCAAATAACAAAGAAGAAAGCAACATGTTTAAGTAAAACAACATCAATGATCAAGAAATAGATCGATTATCAAACAACAAAAAATAAGAATGCGGACCTGGGTTTCATTAATATTCTGTAATTTTTTTCCAATTGATCCAGGATTGTCAATCAGGTTATAGAAACGATACACCAGAAATGGTCATTGTTAATTTCGAGCTCTGATTTCTCAAGAATGAAAACTAAATGACAGGGTCGAGTTGGATAAGTCTCTTTAGATAGGTCATTGCTCGGAAGTTGACCAACAGAGAAGAGGCACCTCATAAAAAATAAAATTGTAGAGAAAAGAACTTGGTTTTGACAAGAAACGGAAACCAGAAGTGGCAAAGGACAAATAGTTTATGAAAATAAATGGAATAGAGGACTTTAAAGTTCTATAATGTTTTGATTTCACTTAGTTATCTAAACAAAATCTCAAATATACAATTGGCTTATCAAAACTTTTTTTTGAGGGGAAGGGGGGGTGCAGACAACAATTCAATAATACATCAATTATTAAGCTTACATTTCTTCATTAACTTTTAAACTTAGCACAGGCTCACAGTGAAAAAATATAAGTCATGGAAAAACATTTCAAAATAGGCCTCTAGATTCTTTAAAGTTTTTTTGGTTGGTGTCTATCTAATCGGTGTATACTCTACTTATCTTTTTGTCATTCTACCATTTTCATTGTGTTTCAAAACTCAGTCTTCACGCTTAACCACAAGCCCAGCAGCCCAGACTTGTAAAATTGCTTTTGGGCCTGTAAAAATAATCTCTACAGACCAACATAACCTAACTAAAATTTTCCAAAAATTAAGCTCCGGGCCTGTAGATTTAAAAGTTTACCGTGAAGACTGGTTAAACTGTTTTAGAAACATACACGTTTACAGTAAAATACATCTTTTTCATTTAAAAATCCATTAAGAAATCAGGGTAAATACTTTTTTCTTTGGGACAAGTCAAATTTACAATTTGACTGGGCCAGGGACAAGTGGTTACAACAAATATTTTTACCCCTGGACTCCTGGAACTATAAAAGAAGACTTTCAGAATCTAAAATTTAATATTTTTAATAAACATGTAGGATTTGTTTATGATGCTAGCACCTGTAAGTCTTATATCAAAGCAATTAATCAGTCTGGCAGAGACTTATACATCTGTGGTATTATGGTATTTCATGTCTCCGATTCTGGTTACTGTCATCTTATTACACAGATGCTACTGTTTTAAAATAGATTTTGCATTCTCAAATCTATTAACCTACCCACTCATGTTTTAATATTTTCAAATTCCCATTCCAGCTTGAAGCTTTTTGCATTAAAGCTTTTTTAATAGTAAACGAAATTAGCCTGGTGGCATAACTGATAAAAAAAATCATAATACCTTTTGTCCTGCTTAAAATCACTTTATGTAATGAAAGTTTCATGAGTTAAGGGTCTAGTATTTGGTTCTTCTTACTGTGAACTTTAATTTCAATCATTATATTATATTAGCCACATACAAAAGACCTCTCATGGTAACTTCTTCATTCCGAAAAGGAGACAATTACGAGAAGGGAGTGATGCGAACATTAACAGGTTGTAACCAATCACCCAAACCAAGGATTTGTATAGTGAGACCGGTCTATACAAATCATTGCCCAAACATATAAATACAAGTTGCTTTCTTTTAAAAAAAAAATGCAAGCGTGAACCTTAATGCCTGTTTGTATTCTGTTTGGTATATAAGATCAGATAATTGTTATATCATTATGATATGAAGATGCATGATTTTACCTCATATTTTTTATATAAGATCTGCCTGGGAACAGTATATCTAACAATATCAATATTTATGTTCCTGATATTAAGATTTAGAAAACTGACATGGATTCTTAATGCATATGGATTCTTAATGTAACTGCTGTTCAATGTGGGACATAATAGTCTTGTTAAAGAAATCATTTCTCTCTCTAAACTGTTGTGCATGAAACATCAACTAAATACCTAGGCTGCACCATCGCAAATGATCTAGATTGGGGAGAACATATAAACAACATCACAGGAAAAGCCAGCCGAAGCCTTGGTTTCCTACATCGAAACCTCCACATTAGCTCAAAATCCATCAAAGAGCATGCCTATAAAATATTAGTAAGACCGCAAATGGAATACGCCACGACAGTATGGAACCCGTACCAGCAAAACCACATAGATAAAATTGAAAAGGTACAAAGAAGAGCTGCACGATATGTAACCAGCAGACATAGAAATAGATTAAGTGTCAGCAACATGATAAATGAATTAGGATGGAAAAGCTTACAAACAAGACGAAAAGAAGCACGACTCATCATGTGTTACAAAATAACAACCGACCTTGTAGCCATAGACAAGAATAAATATCTACAAAAACCAACAAGAAGCTCAAACCGGACAGGACAACATACTTACCTATTACAGCCAGCCACCAAAGACTGTAGGAAATGGTCCTTCTTCATAAACACCGTCAAGGATTGGAACAAACTGCCACCAGATACCGCCACAGCAAAGTCTCTTGAGATATTCAAGTCTCAAGTCACCAAAACCACAAACTAAACCAACAGAACAATTTTTTTTATCCTGTTTTTAACCTGTTTTTAATCATGCGCAACTTGCCAGAATATTCATCATGTTGAATGTGGGCAGTATTTGGAAGAAGAAGAAGAAGAAGAAGAAGAAACTGGACTCCTGCTGTTGTTCGTTCTTATTTACACAGTTTATGGCGGAGCATCAATCAGCGGGTGGCCAGTTTATTCTCTCTCCCCCACCCTCTCTCTTCCGAAAGATTACAACATGCTTAATAGGAGGCAACCACTGGATGTTCCTGAGGTGCTGTTTTGGAAATAAAGAGGTAGCTAGCTTATTGGCTAAAGTCGAAATGTAAAATTTGTCTGAACATGGTTTCTGTTTTGAAGAAGTTTAATGGAATCATGCTTAGTTGGTCTCTGGTGGTCTCATTGGCACCTTCTTACCTTTATATTAAACTGGTACCCACTTGAAATTAGAGATTAAGATACAGACTTGTTTTCTTTTTCAAAATTATCCATCGGAAGAAGAAGAAGAATGTAATTGTATGTGGATTACGGGTTTAATGAAGATATCCTTGATCTCCTATGTTGTATTGGAGGTGAATAACACACACATATATATATACAGAAATACCCCAAATGGGATATAAATTTAATGTGCAAACAAGTTGGGGTTTTAATTATCTAAGGGAAAATTAACAAAGTGTAAATGATTATCAGGCAACAACGTTTGGTTAGTAACATACATTTCCGAATATCTAGTTATTTATAAGTTTGGTTCCTTGAAAGATCGGCTGTTTTTCAGAGGGATCAATCTAGCAACTTATCTATTTTCTGGAAAAGTCGCTTCCCAAAAGCTGTTACTAATGAATTAAACAAATTCACGTTTCAATTATTGTTCTAAACTCAAAATTTAAAGATTTTTCCACTGTAAATTTATATCTAATGGTTAAACTTCACACCAAAAAAAAACCGACAGAATAAAGAACATGAAAACTACAGACATTTCAACATTCTTCACAACTGTATCAAAACTATTGGAAAATCTGTCAGTTATAAATAATATGATGCACTTAACACAATAATTGAATATTACCTAACAAAACTGCTCAAATCTTAGCAGCATAATTACAATTTAGATATCGATATATGAAAATGTTTATACTGTACATTGAATAAAGTAGACTTGCTACATGTCCCGTCCTTATTTTTTTTTTAAATTTTGCCCCTTTAACAATTTTACTGCTATAAGTAGGAGATTACCATTATACTGACATCTGCAGAGGCAATCAGTATACTGGAAGTTAACAGTAAACATATACATTAGTAAGAAAGAAATAAAAGAAAGGGAATTGTAGCAAGTCTATGAATAAAGTTGAGGATGAGATATACTTTGTGACTGAATGCCCACTGTGTGTTGATAATAGAACTGAGTTTTTTTTTACTGAAATTTCATTAACTGCAATAATTTTCAATCTTTAGACAATCTTTCGAAGTTTACACGGCTATTTACACAAGAAAATTTAGATGTATATAAATGTTTGGGAAAGTAAGTATCGAAAAATCTGGAGATAAGGAGAAGTTCTAAGATAATAAATGCAAATTAGTCACACGTATACTTATTTTGAGTGGTATATTTTATAGATGTTTAAAATACCGATTATCAGGTTGTCTGCATATTGATATCGTAAAATATCAGAGGATTACACTATGAATATGCATACAAACAGATAATCGATTTATCGGGTTGTATTTGCGTATTTTGCATGATAGAAACAAGTATTTTCTTTGTTTCACCAGCAAACCGGAAGATGACGTGATAATTTCGGGTCAAACTAATCAACGTCGGTTCATATATGATGACGTCGGTGATATGTCCGGGTCAAAGTTATTAAGGCCGGGTCAACGTATTTGACGTCACAAAGCCGTGATATGCAATTTTATTATATAAGAGCTGAGCAGAGTGATACAGACAGAGGGACAACCGATAATTTGTATTATCTGGTTCTGTCATGGCCTTATATAACAGTTTTTTTTTAAATTTATGTCTAATCTTATGTATTTGTATGTAATGTGATAAAAGCTCTTTATAGGGCCCTTTTATTGTAAATAAAATATTCTTATTCTCTTATGAAATGAATATGCAATAGTGAACATTATTTCATACAACACAAGTCGTGCATGAGCCTGCATCCAAATCCAACTTGAATAATTTTTTTGCACTAAATTTTCACATAGCATTTTTGAATGTCCTTTAAACACCTGTCCTTGGGGACTATTGCTTGGTTAGCTGTTTAATATTCTTGTCCATGTGCATCAGTCACAAGGAGGACTAGATAATTAATTTTAGAACATTTGTTTATAAATGTATTGTAAAGTGCTTAAATTTTCATATCTATGTTTATTTGGTTGTGTTTCCTTTACGCACCCGTCCTTGGTGACTCCTGCATTTGGATAACAATGTTATTTGTTCATCTACATAAGTCACGAGGATGACTTCACTCATGAAAGCTTATTTCATAGTGGACATGATGCTGGATACAATTAACAATTCAGAAAAATTTTCTGATAATTTTTTATAGTCCAAATCGGAAATGATACATGATACATGACACATAATACAACATATGCAATTATTGTTAAGTCAAAAACAGCTCTAAATATGCAAAAGTAAAACGTCCCAGATGATCAATTGACATTGATATTCTCCGAAACTTATTTTCAGTAATAAGTACGAAAAAAGAACGCTTTCTGCAAGTCAAAAAAATCCTTACAGTAAGCATTAGAGAGATCATTATGTAAACAATTAGGCAACATTTGGGCTCTTACCAAACATACCCTCTCTTCTACTGACAGTTTAAATTATGCAAAAATTGACTAATTGAGCTATTCTTTAATTCGTGCTTGTCCTGAATATGCGGGAAATATTTTCTACTCGACGTTTAGCTCATGAAAACAGTCATTCAATCACATTTAAAAATTAATTTCAAACATATTAGAATATACTGAACATAGCCTTAAGACATTTAATATGATTTTAAGCAGTTTATATGGCTAAATACCATAGTTATTCAAAAACCATTAAACGATTCAAGAACAGAAAACGTAAACTATAACTAGTTAGACTGCAACAAATACGCCCTTAGCTGGTGTATACATATTAACATTGTATTTATTGTTCCCGCCTGTCCCAAATAGAGGGATGGCCCTTGGTGCCCTTACCCCGCCCCTCTGCCCATCGAAGCAAAAAATTGCACCCTTATGCCTTTTCCGGTAAAATTGTTATATATTGATTGATTACCTCATGTGTTAATTTCATTCATTACTACAAGGTTATGTACGAATAAAATATGTGGTGGGATAGATGTCAATGAGACAGCAATCCAACATTACACATAACCAATAGACGCTAAATTACAGTCTCTAGCATTCATCCTGTTCGACATAGCAATGACATTTATCGTAAACAAGTCCTCGTCCTGAATATGCATGACATATTTGCCACTGTCAAGGTTAAGGAAGAAACGACATTTAAAAAACAGGTTTCTCTACAACATTTCAATTTGAATTATCGTTCTTTGTATATGTTTTCATTTGTCTATAAATAAATAATAAAAAAGCTTTATTTAGAGTCGGCAAGGTATACAAACAGAGACAACATAAGCTCTAATGAGCTTTTAACCGACATATAAAATCTACTCTATCTTGTATATCGCCAGTATACATCTCCCAGCTGAAACGATCTTCCGGAGCTTGCGTTTCCCATCATGATTTCCTTGAAAGAGGGTCGTTGATTACAAGGAAACTATTGATCCAAGGGTTCGAAGTGGTATAGTTGAGAGTCATTCATTCGAGAAAAAAATTCGGACGCCACAACGAGTTGATCGACCGTTATGGAAAATCTGTCAAAGACAAAGATGGCCACGGATATATTCTAATTGACGTAACCACAATCCTGTCTTCTTTTCCTCGATTGTAACATCACCTTAT